TAGCTACATGAATACCGACGTAGCCGCCACGAAGGCGCTAAGAAGGAAAACATTCGTAGCTAAGAAGAAAAACCTTCGTAAGTACCTTCCTGAATCCGGTCCCCGGTCTGTGAAGTTACTCGTAGCCACCACAGCCTGGCTGATCCCCGAACTCCAGCAGCAAATGGTCCACTTCTCCCATGAAAGCTTCCACTCTTGTTCCAGTGATATTTCTTATGGGGAGGATATTGAGGAGTGACTGAGCCTCTGATGTTTCCGCTGGGTTACTTAGGCAAACACGTGAAGACCAACTCCGTTCGTATACGTCAGCACACAATGGTAAACTGAATGTATTGACTTTCCTCTAATAGTTTGCCCTGATATTAACTATTATGTTAATATTTTTAACATAATATTTACCCATACGGTATATTATATGCTTAATATACCCTTAACATATCCTTAATATACAACTGATATACGCTAAATATGAGTTTAATATACGCTTCGATATAACAATAAATTTAAAAGAATATTATGGTAATTTTTCTGATAAATCATTAAATACTAAATTTTTTAACGAACACTTTCTTCTATAATAAACTATTAATTTATGGAATTATTTTAAATCTTCTGGTAAACCCAAAATATGTAAATAATTATATATGCAGATCATTAGTATTAATTTTCATATCTATGTAGAAAAAGGTGACTCATTCGTCCTTCAAATGGAATATAATAGAGACCACAATGATGGTAACATTCTAGACTCTCCGAATGTTGCCATTAAACCCTAATAGAGCATCTTAATCCTAATAGAGCGTCCTAATCCTAATAGAGCGTCCTAATCCTAATAGAGCCTCCTAATCCTAATAGAGCGTCCTAATCCTAATAGAGCGACCTAATCCTAATAGAGCGTCCTAATCCTAATAGAGCGTCCTAATCCTAATAGAGCGACCTAATCCTAATAGAGCCTCCTAATCCTAATAGAGCGTCCTAATCCTAATAGAGCGTCCTAATCCTAATAGAGCCTCCTAATCCTAATAGAGCGTCCTAATCCAAATAGAGCCTCCTAATCCTAATAGAGCGTCCTAATCCTAATAGAGCGTCCTAATCCTAATAGAGCGTCCTAATCCTAATAGAGCGTCCTAATCCTAATAGAGCGTCGCATTTTGACGTATATGAAGTCCAAAAATTGTCGTTCTAGAAAATGGTAGCGGCTCGCGAATAGTGCATACTGCCCCGTTTTCTGTTTTGGGTCCTCTGGTAGGTTAGGATTAGGGCACGTTAGTAGGGCAGGTTCTTGACGTTGGGGAAACCTTAAGAGGACGGGTTGTGCGAGCAACATTGAGTTAACACAAGGCTAGTCGAAGGAAAAACAAAGCCAACACAAGCACAAGTTTTATAATAATTGCAAAAATTATAATAATTATTATATACTTTACCAGTTGCCGCACTTGGGCTGGTCGGTAGAGCGACGGTCTCGCTTCATGCAGGTCGGCGTTCAATCCCCGACCGTCCAAGTGGGTGGGCATGATTCCTTCCCCCCGTCCCATCCCAAATCCTTATCCTGACCCCTTCCAAGTGCTTTATAGTCGTAATGGCTTGGCGCTTCTCCTGATAATTAACCCCCTCTCCCTCCCTCTCTCTCCCTTTTATTTCTCTATTCTTATCTACCAGTTGCCGGAATACTGCACATCTCAGGAAGACCAATTAACATGACGTCAGTGTACTAGGACACCCAGTACACACATCAGGAATAACTGGATAAATAGAGAGATGGATCTTCACATTTCTAATTCAGTGAACGAAAAGAGTATTAGCCAACAGGAGCCAAACCCGGATCATTCACCGTGACACGCTCCCAAGGTAAGTGTGTGTGAGTGATCCCAAGGTAAGTGTGTGTGAGTGATCCCAAGGTAAGTGTGTGTGAGTGATCCCAAGGTAAGTGTGTGTGAGTGATCCCAAGGTAAGTGTGTGTGAGTGATCCCAAGGTAAGTGTGTGTGAGTGATCCCAAGGTAAGTGTGTGTGGGTGATCCCAAGGTAAGTGTGTGTGAGTGATCCCAAGGTAAGTGTGTGTGAGTGATCCCAAGGTAAGTGTGTGTGAGTGATCCCAAGGTAAGTGTGTGTGAGTGATCCCAAGGTAAGTGTGTGTGAGTTATCCCAAGGTAAGTGTGTGTGAGTGATCCCAAGGTAAGTGTGTGTGAGTGATCCCAAGGTAAGCATAAGGTAACCAATTTACTGGAAGGGAAGAAGGCAAGTCTTTCAAAGGGAAATTTGTCAAAACATTACGTCCGCTTCGTGCTGCGGCCAGATGGCCGGTAGTGCCGCGAGGTGCCTACACCTAGTTCCATGATACATGATAAATTGCCTTTTGACACAAAATGTTCTTGAAAAAAAGGGGAGATGAATTTTATGCGGAAGTGCCTCTTATACGCCGGCAAATACGGTATTTATGCGTTAAATTAATTTATTAGAAAGAAATATTTTAATGATATTTTATATATATATATATATATATATATATATATATATATATATATATATATATAATATATATATATATATATGAATGAAGAGGGCAGAGCTATGCAGTATCCCCCCCCCACCCCTAGCCGATTACATATAAATGAAAGCAATATTGCAACTAAACAGAATAAATTCAGTAAATACAAAAAAATACAGTAAGTAATAAGAATTAGAAGCATAACAAGAGAAGGGGTCACAGAACAATAACAACTCATCATCAGGGCAGGTGCAGTTGGTCCCACTAATTATCCCTAATTACAGGTATGCTAATGACCTACTTTGTTTTAATAACAACACAACGGTGGCAATTATGTGTCATTAGAGTAGATCACTCCAACTGTGTTTATTGTAAACTTGTATAAACAGTTTTCAAGAACATCTTTATAGATGTTACTATACTTCAGAAAAAGTATTGTATACTTAGAACACAAGAACTTTAAGAATTAATTAAGCTATAATCAAGCCTATTGGCCCAAAGGACCAGCTCCCATTTATATCCACCAAAAACTCATTCATACATATGTCTAACCTACGCTTGAAACAATCCAGTGGTCCCACTTCCTCAGGGGTTGTGGATTTGGCTGGACTCAGTTACTTGAAGTTACTGTGAGCGAGGCTGGAGTCAGCCTTCACCACCTCATCCTTCATGCAAGAAGTCAGCCTCCACCACCACTCCCTCCAGTTTAGGAGTCAGTCTCCAGCATCTTACTCCATGTAAGAAGTCATCAGCCTCCATCACCTCCATGTATGGAAAAACCCATGTATATGGAGTCAGCCCGTGATAGTTTACTAATTAATGCATTCGTCTGCTGTGGGTAATGAGTCATTAGTCTACTGTGGGTAATGAGTCATTAGTCTGCTGTGGGTAATGAGGCATTAGTCTGCTGTGGGTAATGAGTCACTAGTCTGCTGTGGGTAATGAGTCATTAGTCTGCTGTGGGTAATGAGTCATTCGTCTGCTGTGGGTAATGAGTCATTAGTCTGCTGTGGGTAATGAGTCAATCGTCTGCTGTGGGTAATGAGTCATTCGTCTGCTGTGGGTAATGAGTCATTCGTCTGCTGTGGGTAATGAGTCATTAGTCTGCTGTGGGTAATGAGGCATTAGTCTGTTGTGGGTAATGTGTCAACAGTCTGCTGTGGGTAATGTGTCAACAGTCTGTTGTGGGTAATGAGTCAACAGTCTGTTGTGGGTAATGAGTCAACAGTCTGCTGTGGGTAATGAGTCAACAGTCTGCTGTGGGTAATGAGTCAACAGTCTGTTGTGGGTAATGTGTCAACAGTCTGCTGTGGGTAATGTGTCAACAGTCTGTTGTGGGTAATGAGTCAACAGTCTGCTGTGGGTAATGAGTCATTAAAGTTTAGAAACATGCACTCAACCCATTCCGTGTTTTCCTGTTTGATCTTACTCATAATATTAAATTAAACTAAACAGGAATTGTCTTATCTAATATGCACACACACACGCGCGTTTGTGGGAGTGAGTGTTGTATTTAGTTAATTTATTATACACCCCAAACTCATCCTGTGAGCGGTAGTGGACCCCATATCTATCCTGTGAGCGATGGTGGACCCCATATCCATCCTGTGAGCGATGGTGGACCCCATATCCATCCTGTGAGCGATGGTGGACCCCATACCCATCCTGTGAGCGGTGGTGGACCCCATATCCATCCTGTGAGCGGTGGTGGACCCCATACCCATCCTATGAGCGATAGTGGACCCCATACCCATCCCGTGAGCGGTAGTGGACCCCATACCCATCCTGTGAGCTGTTGTGGACCCCATACCCATCCCGTGAGCGGTAGTGGACCTCATACCCATCCCGTGAGCGGTAGTGAACCCCATACCCATCCTGTGAGCGGTTGTGGACCCCATACCCATCCTGTGAGCGGTTGTGAACCACATACCCATCCCGTGAGCGGTTGTGGACCCCATACCCATCCTGTGAGCGGTTGTGAACCCCATACCCATCCCGTGAGCTGTGGTGGACCCCATACCCATCCTGTGAGCGGTTGTGAACCCCATACCCATCCCGTGAGCGGTTGTGGACCCCATACCCATCCCGTGAGCGGTTGTGAACCCCATACCCATCCCGTGAGCGGTGGTGGAAAATGCTATACAGCTTATAATGGGCCGGGAAACTGAACCCCAAGATTCGTTTAAGCAAGTTACAGCCCAACAAACTCGCCCTTCCGGACAAAATTACACACACACAAAAGCATCGACGAGCAAGTGACAGTTTGCTAACATAGACACCAACAGTCTATTAACAGTCCTGGGTAGGGAATTATTAGGGAAAAGCGCCAAACCATTACGACTATATAGCACTTGGAAGGGGTCAGGATAAGAATTTGGGATGGGACGGGTTGGAGGAATGGTGTCCAATCATTTTTATGGTCGGGGATTGAACGCGGACCTGCATGAAGCGAGACCGCCGCTCTACCGTCCAGCCCAAGTGGTTGACAGTGCTGGTTAGTTTACCTTAACTAACATGAAGGTCACAGTGACGGAGTGTGTCAGTGAGTCACTTATAGATGAGTAAGTGAGTCACTGGTGACGGTGAGGGTAGTGAGTCATGAGGGCAGTGAGGGGGAGACATCGTACTCTATGACTCCTCATTCCCTTGCTCTATCACCCAGGCCGGCCAGTATAGAGCCTCATGGTGCAACAGAGTATAAGCGCTCTTTAACACTGTATTTCATGCCGTAACGACTGAACGCCGGTGTTCTGATTGGTGCTTCAGACTGTGTGATGTCCAACTTCTGGTGATCTCTGCCTCTGATTGATCCCCCTGATTTGTGGTGATCAATGTCTGATCAACCCTGATCGGACAATGAACAAATCGTTATATTACGAGATTTTTTCAACAAACAAAATATGAACATGTTGAACACGCTAATGTGTAACAATTTGTAAACGCAGAAAACCGTAATACTGAACACAGGTTTCAACCCTCGAATATATAATTATGAACAAAAAAAATCTTGCCGAATTTACGATTTTTATTTACAAACGCAGAGCCTAATGTGAGCCTCGAGTGACGTCACACACCCAAACGTCAGGCAAAGTGGAGCATGTCTCCCACTGTTGCTATATTTCCCCCTCCCAATTCCCTCCAAAAAAGCATCCCCCACTCCCCCTATCCCCCCCCCCAAATATCCCCCACTTCCCCACCCCCATCACCCCTCCCCGCCACCCCCACGGGCACAAGAAGGGGTTGTGGGTGCAGGGAAGGGTCCCGACGTTGGGTACAATTAGTTCCTCAAGTGGTAACCAGAGGGGGCGACTCCGCCATATATCATATGGATACTTCAGTGGACAAAATTTGAGGCCCAACTGTAGAAGCACAAAGATATCTCCCTCACCAAGCACTGCCCGGGACACTGACTACGACACTGACTACTACACTGACTACTACACTGACTACTACACTGACTACGACACTGACTACGACACTGACTACGACACTGGCTGCGACACTGACTACTACACTGACTACGACACTGACTACGGCACTGACTACGACACTGACTACTACACTGATTACGACACTGGCTACTACACTGACTACGACACTGACTACTACACTGGCTACGACACTGACTACGACACTGACTACGACACTGACTACGACACTAACTACGACACTAACTACGACACTGATTACGACACTGGCTACTACACTGACTACGACACTGATTACGACACTGGCTACTACACTGACTACTACACTGACTACGACACTGACTACTACACTGGCTACGACACTGACTACTACACTGGCTACGACACTGACTACGACACTGACTACGACACTGACTACGACACTGGCTGCGACACTGACTACTACACTGACTACTACACTGGCTGCGACACTGACTACGACGCTGACTACGACACTGACTACTACACTGACTACTACACTGACTACTACACTGACTACGACACTGACTACGACACTGACTACGACACTGACTACGACACTGACTACGACACTGACTACTACACTGACTACTACACTGACTACGACACTGACTACGACACTGACTACGACACTGACTACTACACTGGCTGCGACACTGACTACGACACTGACTACGACACTGACTACGACACTGACTACTACACTGACTACGACACTGACTACTACACTGACTACTACACTGACTACGACACTGACTACGACACTGGCTACGACACTGACTACTACACTGGCTGCGACACTGACTACTACACTGGCTGCGACACTGACTACGACACTGACTACGACACTGACTACGACACTGACTACGACACTGACTACTACACTGACTACGACACTGACTACGACACTGACTACTACATTGACTACGACACTGACTACGACACTGACTACTACACTGACTACTACACTGACTACGACACTGACTACGACACTGGCTACGACACTGACTACTACACTGGCTGCGACACTGACTACTACACTGGCTGCGACACTGACTACGACACTGACTACGACACTGACTACGACACTGACTACGACACTGACTACTACACTGACTACGACACTGACTACGACACTGACTACTACATTGACTACGACACTGACTACGACACTGCCTACGACACTGCCTACGACACTGACTACTACACTGACTACTACACTGGCTGCGACACTGACTACGACACTGACTACGACACTGACTACGACACTGACTACGACACTGACTACTACACTGGCTGCGACACTGACTACGACACTGACTACGACACTGACTACGACACTGACTACGACACTGACTACTACACTGACTACGACACTGACTACGACACTGACTACTACACTGACTACGACACTGACTACGACACTGCCTACGACACTGCCTACGACACTGACTACGACACTGGGACATTACTGTACTTGCTTTTAATTATACTGATAATTTTGACACGTGACAGAACACACATATATAATTAACTGGTGACTTTACGGTTAATTTTATGTTACATGACAGTCACTTCAGGTCACAGACTGTCGGAAATAAACAATACGACCGTTAGTTTCTGGTTACATAGACGAAACACATCTAACTTTTAAGAGTTTGAAGTGTTTCCCTTCAAGTTCGGATACTTCCCTTCCCTAACGTCAGCAGGGCCCAGTTCCCCCCTTAATATAAGCAGGGGGCCCAGTTCCCCCCCTTAAATATAAGCAGGGGACCCAGTTCCCCCCTTAATATAAGCAGGGGGCCCAGTTCCCCCCCTTAAATATAAGCAGGGGACCCAGTTCCCCCCTTAATATAAGCAGGGGGCCCAGTTCCCCCCCTTAAATATAAGCAGGGGACCCAGTTCCCCCCCCCCCCCCTAACGTCAGCCCATGACTGCCGAATACCCCCCCCCCCCTCCCTCTGTTGCTTACCTTTGACTGGAGTGTAAATATTGAGGTAGAGACAGTCTTCACTCTGGTTGTTGAGATGCGGGAGGAGGCGCTGAAGGTAGTTAAAGCGACCTTCGGGCATGCGCTTGAGCGCCTCGCGTCTGTTAGTAACGTCAGGAAGCTTCTGTGGGCACACGGGGGGCATGGTGTTGGCCGTCCTGATGCCCGACCACTGGAGGGGGGACGTAGGGGGCATGAAGCGGAGGTCCCCGACAGGCGGGGCGGCATACGGCACCCCGAGGAACACAGCGACGTGTTTCAGTGCGCGGTTGTTAGGGGTCACTATGAGTCCTCTGAGGTCACCGTTGCGGGTGGAGACCAGGTGTGAGGACATGATGAACCCCTCCACGCCCACTGATGCACCTGTAAACACCACCGCCCACGCCCACACCCGCCACGCCCACACTAATCCACATGCAAACATAGTGGAGAAATGCAATTCTTTTCAAAGCCAATAAATTTTTCACTAAATTTTGTTTTCTGTGGTTTCAGAACTGCTGCATTTTTCTCGCATAATTGGAAAACCTTTTGCAATTAACTGGGGCGTGTAGACAGTGTCATCCCTCAGCACCGCGGGGACCCGCCTCCTCCTCCTCCTCCACGCTCACACTCGAAATTAAACTGAAGAAAGCAGAACTACACACTATACACCACTGGCTTCGAGGCACAAGTAATCATTTCAACTTTTCACAAACTTATTAACTTGAGAGGAGGAAAAGTTCCTCTCTCACACTTTCTAGCATATTTTATATTATTACACTTTCATTATATTTTCTGTTATACTCGAGGTCTTTCTTGGGTCTATGTTACAGTAGACTGTTGTGTTGGGCTCAGCTATGCTGCACTGACGCCGCGCAGCACCAGTTGGATGGTTCTACATGAACCTTCCATCTTCCTCTCAACATACTCCAACAATTTTAAATCCTAAGGCTCTACATTTTTTTACTTGGGTCCTGTTAAATAATTTGTAATGGCATGACGAGAGTTCTTTCACTTTACAACTCGCAATCAAACTCATACAAAATAATTTGTAACGCATTCTCATATTCCGTCGTCTCTCTCTCTCTCTCTCTCTCTCTCTCTCTCTCTCTCTCTCTCTCTCTCTCTCTCTCTCTCTCTCTCTCTCTCTCTCTCTCTCTCTCTCTCTCTCTCTCTCACTGACACTAGACAGCTTTTCCTCGGGGTGTCCGAAGTTTACATTTACAATAAACCGTCCTGGTCTTTGTTCCTCACGTATGCTATAAAAGAAAAAAATGTGTACCTCATATACCAAAACCTAGGATAAAACACCTATCATGCGTGGCTACACACACCAACAACATAGCCCCCCCCACACACACACATGTACACACACACACACACACACACATGTACACACACACACACACATGTACACACACACACACACACATGTACACACACACACACACACATGTACACACACACACACACACTTGTACACACACACACACACATGTACACACACACACACACATGTACACACACACACACATGTACACACACACACACACACATGTACACACACACACACACACTTGTACACACACACACACACATGTACACACACACACACACATGTACACACACACACACACATGTACACACACACACACACATGTACACACACACACACATGTACACACACACACACACATGTACACACACCCTCCTTCCACCTGGATACTGTCTCATCTTTAAAGCCCTGAAAACCTCACCAATCATCACAGTCGCTTGAGAGTATATGAGGTCTGGTTTTGGAATGCCGGTTGTGTGGTATTGTTGGCAAGAGTTCGAGCCCCCTCGCTCTCCGCTCATTCATTAGAGCGACAGATCCCTTAATCTGACGCCCCAAGGGAGAGAGAGAGAGAGAGAGAGAGAGAGAGAGAGAGAGAGAGAGAGAGAGAGAGAGAGAAGAGAGAGAGAGAGAGAGAGAGAGTGTGTGTGTGTGTGTGTGGTGTGTGTGTGTGTGTGTGTGTGTGTGTGGCAGGATGACACACCCTGGACACCTCTCCTGTCAGCACCGACCGACCGCCACAATTCCTGCCTCTTTGGACAGTTATGTAACACTGTCACTACCGCACCAAGTAAACAATGACTTCCAACCACGCGCCTCTGCACGCACGCCTGCACGCACTCACACACACACACACACACACAAATCCCCGTAAACGGCGGTAAATACACACTCGCACAGACATGCACAAACACACACACAGAATCTCCACAAACACAGGTTAGAACACACACACACACACACACACACACACACACACACACACACACACACACACACACACACACACACACGACATATATTCACAATGAACAGGGACGCAGGAGATATAAATTGGTCGCACTTCTCCCACGAAGATTTCTAAATTCCTCACACAAGTCTTAACTCCCATCGCTCTCCACCTCATAAGCTCTCACACCTCACAGCTCCTCCTCCTCCTCCCCCCCACACACACAGAGAGAGGGCCTTCTGCTGCGTTTCTCCTCATTCACTCATGAGGGCCGCCGCAGCAGCAGCAGCTTCTGGAGGAAGTGTGTGGAGCCACCAGAGGAGCCTGGGTGCCGGCGTCTGGGGGTAAAGATGCACTGAGCTTGGCACTTCCTGCGAGGGTGCCACCACATCACTGCCACGACCAACACCAACTGCTGCTGGTGCCCAGTGAGGTGCCGGCTGTGCCCAGGCTACCCCTCCCTCACACCTCCCCTCACCCCTCACTCCTCACCCCTCACTCCTGTCCTCTCTTCAACATCTCTCTTTCCCACCTATCCCCGTACAACTAGCCACCATCTACCAGTCCTCTACTCCAATCACTCTACTCTACTCCGAGCCTCATTATCTACTCTGCTCATGATAGTCTACTTCACTCATAACTCTATAATTCACTCACGACACTTCATTCGTGAGTCTCTGACTATACTCGTACTCCTCTATTTCACTCATCAGCCTCTGCTACTGTCATGAGTCTCTACACATGACGCTCCTGGCGGTGCTCTACAGAGCTCCCCTGGTGGTGCTGCAGAGCGCAAGGGAGCTGGTGCTGCAGAGCGCAAGGGAGCTGGTGCTGCAGCAGCTGGTGCTGCAGCAGCTGGTGGTGTAGCAGCTGGTGGTGTAGCAGCTGGTGCTGCAGCAGCTGGTGCAGCAGCAGCTGGTGCTGTAGCAGCTGGTGCTGCAGCAGCTGGTGGTGTAGCAGCTGGTGCTGCAGCAGCTGGTGCTGTAGGAAGCGAGTTAATTCTACACAAACATGTAGCTCTTAACAACATTTTTTTAATCGGCCAAAATATGTTTAACAATGACGCTGACTTATATTTACATATTCTCCCTGTTCTAAATAACGAGGAAATCCTGTAATAGATTTTTAGACAATAACACTGTATGCAAATACATATATATATATATATATATATATATATATATATATATATATATATATATATATATATAATAATAATGCCACCTCTTGTTCTGTCTTGTGTTGATGAAATTAATACCCTATTAATGCCACCTCACCCCATCCACCTCACTAAAATATATATATATATATATATATATATATATATATATATATATATATATATATATATATATATATATATATATATGTCGTACCTAGTAGCCAGAACGCCCTTCTCAGCCTAATATGCAAGGCCCAATTTGCCTAATAAGCCAAGTTTTCATGAATTAATTGTTTTTCGACTACCTAACCTAACCTAACCTAACTTTTTAGGCTACCTAACCTAACCTAACCTATAAAGATAGGTTAGGTTAGGTTAGGTAGGGTTGGTTAAGTTCGGTCATATATCTACGTTAATTTTAACTCCAATAAAAAAATTGACCTCATACGTAATGAAATGGGTAGCTTTATCATTTCATAAGAAAAAAATTAGAGAAAATATATTAATTCATGAAACTTGGCTTATTAGGCAAATCGGGCCTTGCATAGTAGGCTGAGAAGTGCATTCTGGCTACTAAGTACGACATATATATATATATATATATATATATATATATATATATATATATATATATATATAATATATATATATATATATATATATTGTTACGATAATCTCCTTCAAGAGAGATTTGGCCTGCACTTTCCTATCGTCATGTTACTTCAGTACATCTACAACATCTAGATACTACAAGCAAGTGTAGTACGTATTGAGTAAAATACGTTTCTGCCAAGCGCATACGTATCAGACTCGCTCTCCACCTTCTTCGATCACCAAACCACCACTTCCAGCCAGCCCGCTTCTGATTGGTGAATCGACGTCTGCACCTCTGCACTTCAGCGCCATCTACATAGCCGATGACTGAGCATGCACAAGCCATTGGATTTAGAATATCCTGTGCTCTCAAAGCTGATACAACCTTCTGATATACGCTCTGTTTATTAGTGGATGTTCTCAGCCAGTGCTTTATTCTCAGCACCTGTTAATTCATTTCTCGCATTTATTCATTGTAGAGTAACGTCACCACTATTTTATTTTGTTATTTTTTGACTTTATAATCTTGTTTGTTTGCACTGTACATACCCAAGGGATTGTCTTTGTTCATATTTGTTTTCAAGTTAAATTAAAGTTTCATTGTTCATACTATTTGTTTTGCTTGTTTTCCCTTACTTTACCACAGAAGGCAACAGCCAAGCAGTCAACTTTTTTTTGTAAATGTCATTGGCATTGACACACCAGCCATTAGGAGGACTGCCGAACACCTACACTTCTTTTTTCAATCACAATTTATATATATAACCCTATGTCTTCCACACCATCCACCATCCCCTCGTCCTCCTAACCATTCCCCACTCCACCGTCCCCTCGAATGCGAATGAAACATTGTTTGAAAATTTCAAAGCAATCGGTGAAGAATTATCAGAGATTAACGATTTTGAACAAACGAACGTTTCCATATATATATATATATATATATTATATATATATATATATATATATATATATATATATAATATATATATATATATATATATATATATATTTATGATCGATGTTCCCTTCGGGAATCTTAATTTTTAAGATGAATAGGAAAACCAGGGATATACTGAACATCTTGTATCAGAATCTTTACTTTAAAAAACATAACGTTTCGAATACTTCTCGTATTCATCATCAGATCTAAAAGAAAAAACAGAAATCACAATCAAATAGCTGGTAAACAAAGAACTCATACTGAATATAATTGCCTATCAAAGAAAGGAAAAAGCTTAAAAACCAAAACACTTAAGCGCACTTAAAGTGATCAATACAATTAAAACTTATTAACTGTCACATATATTAACACTAATTTAAAATCCATTAAACTACAAGATGAAATTTATAACTACTAAAACAAACCATTCTATTAAACTTACGTGAAGTGATCAGAAGTGAGACTTGATACCTAACACATAGATACTAAACTCTATAACAAATATTTATATAATAACTACAAATCTACAAAAATGTATGTAAAATACAAACAGAATAAACGACAATTATAAAGTACTAACCAAAATCTTATAAAAAACTCAAAAATTAAATAAAATTAAATACCAAAAAATGTATTATATATCCTAAATAAAAGATTATATTAATGTACAATGTTAAGACTTGAAATAAGTAAGAAAGGGCAAAGACATGGTAAACTACCAAAATAAACTAAAAATCAAATTACAGGGCCTACTGTGCACTATACAGTGTACAATTGAACAGCTGAAAGGTTGCTATTTAACAGAGGCCGCAGCTCCTTTATATATAAGGATTCCATTACTCTCAAATCTGACTGGCCATTCATACAAGTGTCCAGAATTTTAAAATCAGATTCCAGCAGAGAATGATCAAACTCATAACAATGGTTTCTAATCTCCGAAAATGCTGGTTTAGACAATGGTAATCCAGTCCTAAAGGATAATCCCCGGTGCTCAAGTATCCTAATCTTAAAGTTCCGAATGGAACTCCCGACATATCCAGCATTACAGCTGGAACAATTATACATATATACGACATTTGAGCACAAGGGGATAGGCACTTTATCTTTAAATTTAAAATAAGAGCCTATGGTATTTGTGTTG